AAAAAAAAAAAAAAAATGAAAGAAAGAAAGGCAAATTAATAGTAATAGAGCTTAGACCTCCGTCAAGACAGCTCAATTATCAATAACAGAGCGTATACCTCCGCCAAGACAGATTTCGAGTTAGGCTGTTAACTAAGACACTTATAATGGTAAAAACATAACCTCCATAGCGGAGATGATTATGCAGAAAAATACTTCTAATATTTAGAGGAGTGCGTCCTGTCGCACAAACAGTAGATCTTGTCCTCGTGGTTGCACTTCTTTATACATTCCGGTTCGCTGAAATACCCCTCTAATATCTTTTAAAGCCTGACCGTAGTTCTTTGTGAGTTCATGAACTTCGACCGTCCACATATCGACCGTTATTTTATCCCACGGGAAAGCTTGGAGAACCTCCAGCTCTGCTCCCTCTGTGTCGAGGGAGAAGAAATCCACGTGTTTCCGACCAATGGTGCTTAAAAGCGTCTGGATCGGTAGGCAGAGTAGCCTGCTCTTTCCTGTAACATTTATTCTGCTGTCTATTGGGTTGATAGCTCCACTATCTGGACTGCTGGACAACGTAAAATCCAGCCACATGGGTTTACCCGTGAGGCAAGTCTGGATCACGATTGCCTTCCTGAAATGATGGGTATACGCATCTAGAAAGACAAAGTATATATTAGCGTTTTAGTCTTCGGTCATAAACTTGCCTTGTATCAGTTCGACTTAATTTTTGTTTTTTTATGATTCAGGTTGTGTGATTCAGGTTGTGAAAGCCTTGCATATTTTAGAGAAAACAAACACCGGACACTGATACACATGTTTAACTAAAACTCCAAGGGCACGGTCAGGTACAGTTTATCCCATTAGAATGAGTTACGGTTAAAAAGCGAGCTTTCGTGGGATTTGGCTTTGAAGAGAGTTGAGTCAGATATTATGGTAGCCAAGTAATATCTCACTGTTATTAAACCTGTTATCACTAGTAAGAAGGCATGCCGTAAAAAAGTTACCTATTGTTACCTTTATCTGTAAGGAATAACATTTCATAAGTATCACATTCCGAGACAAGCACACTTACCGAGCAATTTATATATATATATAGGTAATAATAGAAAAAAGTAAGAGTTTACCTGTAGAACCATAGAAAGTACCTACCTGTTTTTCATGAGAAGTCGTTCAAAGTTAAGGGGGTCGGGTTCTATCAGTATTCCCGTCCAGTTGCGCGATTTTTCGAAAAATAAAGAGTTGCTGTTCTCCTCCCCATCCCAAGCACCTGCCTCCACAAAGAAACCGTCCCGTCGTTGTCGAAGAAATTTATCAACCAGACGACTTTGTCCGTTTTGGGAATAATGGATTTTGTCGGGTTTCCTAAGCTTCAGGGGCCTCCTAGTAGGTGTAAAGAGCAGCCTGCGCCTTACAAACTCTAGCAGTCTGGGATCCAGTGCGTCCAGTTCTCCCGAGAGAAGATCCTGAAGAACCTCGGTGTCTGTATTGCTTCTTTCATTCATTTCAAATGTAGAGGAAGGTCTACCGATGTGGGCGATTGTTTTGACGTAAAACCCCAATATTATGAACACAGATAGTATGACTGTTATGCACGCCAGTAGCAAATGCCTCTTGAAATGCATTTTCTATAAGAAAAAAAAAAGGAAGAAAACGAATAACCATTAAAAGAGAAGATCCCGAACAACCTCGAACCCGTATTGCTGCTTCCCTTCACTTTCAAGGTCACCACTGTGTTCTTGAAATGCATTTTGTAAAAAAAAAAAAAAAAAAAAAAAAAAAAAAAAAAAAAAAAAAATTGAATGGGTGAGCACCCCTAGTACGAAAATACCGAATGGGACGTCCTTTCAGACTTTTTATGACTCCATATGAACCCTACAGGACTTAAGGAACTCTACAGATATCTTTGTCACAACATATGTACTCTGTGAGACGTCCTTTAGGACGTCCTATAGGAAACATATGTCTCATAGGACCCTAAAGAAAATATCATGCTGGAGCAAAAGGATTATTGACATTTCTTTACCTCAGCAGTAGATCCCAATGTATGCATGTAACTGAGCCTACAAAAACCATATATGGGATTCTGGAATAAACATCGACCGTGATACTAGTAGATGTTACCTTACCATTTAATATAATAATAATAATAATAATAATAATAATAATAATAATAATAATAATATTTATTTCTTAAAAACCGCACTACACTACCGTCTCAGTGATGTTTACAAATAAAATTATTAGGAATAAAATTATCAGGAAATATAATGAACATGGCTGAACCAATGTTTTTATAAGATTGCTTAAAATTCAATGTTATTATACTCGGATACTTGCTTCAAGCAGACACACCATTTAGGAGAAATAAGCACTAGTATATACAGATGTATAGTTTTCCATCCAGATGTAGTTTCAAACGATTGCTAGATGTTAATCGAATCAAGTACTTTCTCGATGAGGAATTCTATGGGAAAATAAACGTTGATACTCAAACCATCTATCTATCTTTATATATAAATGTGTGTTCAGAGTGCATTTTAGTTTTCATTCTTTAATGTAGAAACTGGATTGTAATAGAAAATACATCTGATAATACTCACAGCTGGGCCTTGTGTACACCCTGTCACCTAAAAACTTCTTACACTGCAGTTTCTAAATTCTCGTGTAACATTACAGATGTATTTTATGTCTATATATATATAAACCACACACAAAATATCCTCTACAGGGTTTGACAAAAGTTTAAGTTCGCTTCTTCGGTATTAAAGGCTTACAAGTCAAGATTACGCTATAGTTGATGCCGTTACATTTCATCCTTTTACAAATAAAATTTCTAGCTTATTACGGGAATATATGGACACTGCATGCCTTTCAATAAAATCAAAGCTCTGCGAGGAATTACAAATCTCATTGTAAGGATTTTGGGAATGTGCCAGTATGCCATCATACGAACTACAAAACATCAAACTGTGATGGCATAAAAACATCATTTATATGGTGTTGAGATTGGACCTGCCTGTAAAAACTGCTTTGTTATTTACGGCTAATGAATTATGTTCCTTTGTTGGCAAACAGCTGTCAATTTGTTTTTATTCTTGCTTTAAAGTGCCAAATGTTTTAGCGGATGTAAGAAATTAAACATTTTCATCAGTTAGTTAAGTTTTGCATAGACGCTGGACATCAAATATTAGATTGAACATTTTGAAACTATTACAAAATCTTCAATTATGGTCAAATTGAAACTGTTTTAACAATTCATGTAATACATGTAGTTTTATGGTTTGAAAATTAGTTTCCAAAATCCGTATATTTTCATGGCTCCAGTTCTTCTTGACAAAATGGGTCCAGAATCAAAGCATAGGCAAGAATGCTCGTTTGGGTGATTTTTAACCAAAATACTGTATGTCACAGAACAAAGAGGGAGGAAATTTAATTTTTGCTCTTAAATCTACGTGTTGCAACTTTTTTGTTACCTCTGTAGATGCGAATAATAAGATATAGTGCCGCCGGAAAGTCACCTTAATTACTCTGCGGGTCCCTGCGGGTTGTTCATACGGCCTGGCCCAGTAACCATGGAAATAACATTGTCATTCATGCGCTGTTTGGTTTCTGTGAAACAGTGTAAAATATTATTAAAGAAATTAGACAGCTTTAATTTTGATACAAAATGTTTCTCTGTCGTTGTTTGATTTTAACTCTGTACCTATGTAGTTCAAAACGATAAAAACAGTTCATGTTTACGATCTAAACCCCAAACTTAATCAAAAGCCTTCTTCATACCTAAAAGCATCAAGGGGAATTAATTTAAGAATCTGTCTTACCATCTCTTGGGCCAACTTCACTGTTTGGCACGTAAATCGTACATATCTATTTGCCCATATTATGTGCTCATTATATATGCATGAATACAGCATATATGCTGATATGATTTTAATCATAAAAAAACATATAAACCGTCAATTCATGATTCTCCCAGGCAGAGTAGATTGGGTATCATTGGAGAATAAGAGACCATATATATATGTACATGCTGGTATAACATTTACTACGGCGAAAGCCCGGGTTCATGGGCGTAAAATATATAATTGTGCTGCTTCGTCCTTAAAAGGTATCGTGTTTTAGACACTACCAGACTCTCTGCTGGAAGAGCACTGACGATTGAGATTATAATACCAATAGCAAATGACTTAATGTTTTAAAGAATGGAATATTCAGGTGTGCGATGCAAGAATTGCAGTTTCGCTATCGCTTTGTTGGATTCAATTATCACTATTGAATACACCGTGTTGTTTAAGACCAATATGCAGACGTTTCACTAAAGCATTTTTCTTGTACATGTCTCTTAAGCCCAAAGGCCTTGCGTGTCGTATTTTATTTTAAACTTTCTTTAGCCGTTTTCAAATTTATTCAGTGTGCACTTGTTATTTCATAAATCTTCCCTGTTGTTTAACAGAATATTAATTCGTCCAATAATGGCAAAATCTGATTTTTTATACTTTAAATAATGTTTTTTAAAGAAACATCAAAACTTTAAGAGATATTACTCAAATATCAAGGTTTTTGAAAATGCTAGCCAGTAGCCTGGTCAGTTTTTAATAGCAGATGAAGTACTGACACATTTCAGTGTAAACTCTCTCAGTGCAGATCCAGTCCTCACGAACGAAATGCAAATCATGGTGTCGAACCGCTTGTTTTTGACTGCGAACGTCGAATGATTATTGACTCAAACCGCGATTACTTGTCGCGAACGCAAAAATATTTGTACAAACCCGCGGCCCGAGATCATAAATGACATTTATCTCTAATGAGGCCTGCAGTTTCTGACAATAAAATTATATATTTTACAGTCATGTTCAGCAAATGCGCCGCTCTACGGCATACGTTATATGGCTTAGGATTCCCGCATACAGTTCATCCATTCAGGATACAGCAGGTGCGGTTATACCATTTCGACACAGTGCGCATGCGCCAGTTATTTTTTTCGATTTTCATTGTTAAGTCGAAACCTACGACATGTAAAGTACCTGAACTAAAATCGTGTGCTAAAAAATTTGGTAATCACAGCATAAGTGTGGCTTTGAAGGGTACTCATACAATGCATATCCTTATCTCAATTTTTTTTTATCCAGAGCACATGTGGCTCGAACATATATTAGTGCACAGCTACGCATCAACCTGACTTGAGGTGGCATCTTTTTTTTACTGTCAACAATCTTCATCACAGGGTATGGCAACATTCAGTCATAAAAGTCGCCAAAGCAAAGCAAATGATTTTGTGTAAAAATTGCGTTAAGAGGGTTCAATACAGTTTACTGGCCTACGTTTCGGAAAATAGCATTTTTTTCCCATATCTCTTGTCTGTATACGAAATGCTTATCTTAATATTCGTGAAGTAAAAAAAACGATTTTTCAAGTAAAAATGCTATTTTTGTGCTTCCATTCACGTACTGAAGCCCTCTTAGTACACGATGAAAAAATAACAATTAAAAAAAGATAGAAAGAAAGAAAGAAAAAACAACGGCAAGCAGAGCATTGAGAATTATAATCTGAACAATGTCATCCTCTGCTGGCGAATAAACGGAAGGCAAACTGGGTGACACACTGCTCATAGTCCCTCTGTGTTGAGGAGGACTTCTTCAGGGGTTCGCAGTCGGCGAAAATACACGGTTCCATGTGGGCCAGCTGCGCGATAGTCAGGATTTGCTCGCCAGGTAGCAGCACTGGAAGTAAAGATGATAAAGACGTGACATAGGAGTGATGGTAGTAAATATCGGTATTGGATGAAGAAATATTTGTTCACGTGCAAATCAGGACGGAATGTGAAACAAAGTGAAGAGGTGAACTAAAGCACAGTAGAGTTTCAGGGAGGCATCAGCACCTTCTATGTATGCACCACCAGCTGGGTGTGGTCCATTTAATGGGTAACAGCACATAAAAATCGTTAAAAATTGCGATTCTAAGAAGAAACGTAAGCAAAGAGCATTACAAATAAGAAGCACAAATCCCCAAACATCATATCATGATCTCAATTCCTCACTGAGCCATTCAAGTAAATGCAACATTTCATACCATCCGTCTGAGGACATTGATGTTCCACTTGCACAGGATTGGAAGCTAAGGCCAGCTGCCTCACTGACCCGGATACTCTCACTTTCGCTTTCGGTTTTGACACAACTGGCACAGCCACTCTCGCTCTCGCTCTCGCTTTCGGCACAGCCGACACAGAGACAGACACAGAGACGGAGCCAACCGTCGATCTCGGAGGTACAGGGATCCTTGGAGCGTTTGGGGTCCTACATGGGGCGCCACCACATCTCCGTCTTTCCTCGCTAATCCCGGCACAACCGTCGTAGAAGAGCAAGAATGGGAAAAGTACGCAGCGCCGCTTACGTGTCTGTTGCCCTAGGCGACCGCACGTGACTGAACATGACGTCCACGAGGACCAAGGCTCCCAGTGAGGTTGGTTCGATAATCTTTCAACTGTGATTCTGCTGTTCACTGCGATACTAGTTTGTTGTCTTCGAGGCTGTAGTCGGTTAAAGCGACGTGGTAAAACTCGGGGTGGTACTGGGCTATTGCCTGAAATGTAACCGTAGATTTATGACCTACAATATATATATATACCCAAAGTTATTTATATATAACATAACAATGTCTTTTCTGTATTCTACTCAACGCCAGAAGGTGGCAGGTTAGTCTGTCAACCTGATTGCATTCAGCGAGAGGCCCCGTGGAGCTAGTGGACATAACATATTGCGAGATAACTCCTGCTTAACGTCCCCTTATACATATAAGTACTGTTATGTAAACTAACAAATATTTGTAAAAGAGATCTTTACAAAATTCATTTCTCATGTGTATTCCATTAAATAGCTGAATATAATAGTATATTTTGCAACCCTATAGCCCTTACCATTGTAAATTAATTGACCGATTTAATAAGTGTTGAGTTAATATTTCAATTACAAAGACAAATACCTTAAACCCAGAATTCCTACTTACGCCCGCATAATGCGTCCACAACGACCTGCTGAATCCTGGACAAGGCAGCGAAATCATTCACAAGGAACAGGGTTTTGTCACTGGATGCAATCAGCTGCAGCTCAGCCCTGTTGATTTTCCCTCCCACGCCCACTGCTATGACAGGTGCCACGCCTTTTGACTTGAGTGACATTGCGGCCACGCCCACGTCCACGCCCCTAAAACCACGAAACAATGAGTATAATATTTTATTTGAAATGTTCTCTTAATTTTGTTCTCAGTCTTGTTTCCTTGCGGAATCTCTCTCACACACGCGCGTCCGCGCGCAGCAAGCAAATTAAAGCAAAAGAGGGACTAAACATCCAGAAAAAAAAAAAAAAAAAAACAGAAAAGGGACTAAACACCGTGGAGGGAGGGATTCGGCTTCCCATCCACCCTTTTTCTTGCACTCATGATTGACGTGGCTGAAAAGTGTGTATTCGTGTGTGTGTGTGTGTGTGGGGGGAGGGGGGGGGTCAAGCCCTCATAAGCATGCCTTTGTACCTATTGCACTTACTTGTTTGATCTCCCGTCAGTCAGAACTATTACGATCTTCTCCACATTATCCCGCGCCCCAAACCGGTGGTCAGTGAGAACAGTACCCGCCAGCTGTAAGGCTGACCCAGTGTTCGTTTTCCCGCCAAAATTCTTCATCTGGGAAATCTTTTGCAGCAGCTGCGCGGCAGACCGGAACTCATTCAGGCGGATAAGGACGACTGCTTCCGAATCAAACCGAATCAGGCCCACGTGAACAGCACGTGACGAGATCTCGAATTTCCGGATGATGTCGGAGACGAACGATTTGGCCTTTGTGAAATCCTGAGGCTCAATGCTGCCCGAGCCATCCAGCAGGAAGACGAGATCGGCAGGTCTTCTCCGACATTCTGAAAGATAACTTAGTCTTAAAAAGAAAAAGACTGGTGTGTGTGTGTGTGTGTGAGAGAGAGAGAGAGAGAGAGAGAGAGAGGGAGAGAGAGAGAGAGATGATCGTACGCGTGGAGTGCACGCTATCCGGGATGCTGTAAAATGCTTAGTACAATGCCTTCAATGCCAAGTATCAGAGAAGAAAGGGTTGAATCGAACCACAAACTTTAACGCATAGATAACATTAGTGGCTTTTAAATGTTTGTTTATGTAAGATAATGAAGAAATTAATTCAAATACTGGATCTTACGTTTGTTTATTTAACTTATGTTCTCAAAGACAATTTTAACACAGATTCCATTTAGGTATTATAAGCTGTACATTATCTATTATATCTCGGTGTCAACCCTAGAGTACCTTGCACAGTGACTCCTGATACCATGTGACCTCCGAGCAGGAGCAAAACGGTCAGTTGTAGCCGGAAAACGTCCATTACGACATGCCGTGCTTTAAAATCCCATACCACTCCAAGTCATCTATAAAAATTGATTTAAAAAAATGCTGCGATAAGATGAAACATAAATCAGCGAGGAAGGATGATGGAATATGAATGTGGCACTTGCACAGGCAGACTCGGGATTTTTTTCGGGGGAGGAGGAAGATGAAACAATAAAAATTAGACAAAATGGAATTAAAAAGAATTCAATTGCTTTTCTCGGTTGATATAAAACGATAGACGAGAATATTGCAACTATAACAAGAGGGACGCGGGGGTGGGAAATAATCGTTTCCTCGTGTCACTCGTTATACTGTTTATGCGGGAGGAAGAATTGAAAGAAAGTGTCCCTCTCAACGTCACTGGGGATGTGGGGGAGGGTCAGGTATCCGATGTGCATTGCCCTGGACCCATCCCTAGACACTATAGTTTTTTCCTTACAAATGTTATTTGTCCATGCCTATTTATAAATCATCATCATTATCATCATCATCATCATAAATAAAAACTCCGTCTCGAATAACAGTTGCTATATTTTATACACTGGTTAGATTTTGCTAACACACAAAATGAAACAAACAAATAAAGAAAGAATATCATCGTGCATACCTGTACCAGTACTACTCTAAAAAGTATGAAATATAACATACAGAAATGTATGAATCTTTCTCAGTTTCACTGGGCCAGTTTTCAGGGTGTCATTTACTAGTATATACCTGGCTTAGTAAAAACCGTTTTAAACAGTTTTAAGTCACGGAGACGAAGCGCTATTGCGCGATGATAAATAACATGATTTTTGCATGGAGTTTTACACCTTGTGTGTTTAACCAAAGCAAAATAAAAGGTCACATGTACATTAACTGTACGTCTATGTCGCTGATTAGATTAGGTACAATTTAAAACCGGTCCTTAAATAAGAATGATAATATGCCCTCGTACATACCAAGGAACAGTTAGTTTAATAATAATCCATATTATGTTTGTATTCATTTTTATCACTTAAGTGATATTTCATACTGTTAACAGCAGTACCTGTGGAGGACCGTAGTTTATTAAAGTCTAACATCCGAAATTAAAAAAAAAATCAGGGTAATGGGAGATTGCAAAACACAGATATGGCGATTCAGTCTACACACTAAATCAATGCTCATACATAAAAATAGGAAGTTAGGTAAGACATATGAAGGGGTGCTTGTATAATGATCGATTTACACTAAACGCGGTATATACTGCTACAGTAGCATTACATGTACCTTTCCTGAACATTTTATGTAACGTTTTAGCTGTGCTAACTTGTTAAAATTCATTCCAAATTACAAATACAGCATAATAGCACAGTTTCTTTTCTTTGGAAAAGTGTATTAATTGTACGTACCAGTCGGCTCCGCCTACAGCTGCTGATTGACAAAAATAGACCTGAGACCGAAGATTTAAAATTCAGTATACAAGTATGATATAATCTATGACATGGTCTAGCATGTAAGAGAGACAGCACCGGCATGCTGTCTACGGTTTTCAAACAAAGGGGGATCCATATATAGAAGACCAAAGGGGGCTTAATAGATGGCTTGCCATGGCCAATTCTTAATTAAATTAAAACCGATTGATCCATCATTCAAAGAGTCGTGGAAATGTCATAAAAATTAAAATGAACCGACATTTTCTGTCTCTACATATAAATGCATGGAATTAAGACTCGATTTAAATGAAATAAAATAAATGAATAAAAGAAACAAATAACGAGCTTGCGTCTAGGGATTGTAATTTTCTCAACGTTTTTAAGAGTACACCTTGTTAGTAGGTAGAAAATTGACGACAAATCCAGGGAAAATACCCTTTTAATATAGAAAGGTCTAACGGGCATTTAAACAGGTCACACTGCTCACAGTGGACGGCCTTGAAATTAAGTAATACGTCCACTACATCTTGGTTAATGATCAAGATCACGTCTTTCCTCGCGAAAAGTACTTGAAAAGTAACAGTTATTGTCACCATTAATTTATCTTTTAATATGCATTTAAATGCATTCAATTGGATAGTTATTAAGAAAAGATGGATTTGGAAAATCTGTGTACCGCGAGTAACGTAGTAAGGTGAGTTAGTAACATATGCGTTTTTTAAATACTGGATCCATCATTCAAAGAAAGATTCATCATGTAAGAGCTATAGTGTGTTTTTACATGTAAACCAGTTGTTGATGAAAATTAAAACAAATCACCATATAAACGTGTATACATTCTTTATTGCACGGACTAATTTAAGCGTGTATCTTTCTCAATTTCACGTTACGACTTTGGGGATGCCAAATACCCGGTACGTCAGTGGACCTGAACAGGAAAGAACAGGCCATGGCATGTCGGATTCACTTTAAATCCTTTGAGATAAGCACTTCCCTTAATGATACCGTTTTGATTATCGTGTGTAGTAATCAATCTAAGGTGTATCGCGGCATGGATTGATGTTTTCATATTTTGGACCTGTAATATAATGGTGACATTGTAATGGACCCAGGTTTGTACCTGTATACTTTTAAATTAAGAATGTCCTTATTCGAACATACTAGTAAGAGAACCGAATGTATCATTTTTTGTGTTTGATACATGTACCCATAAGGTAATAGTTACTGCAATACGTGTATATACAAGTTGGGAAGTAAGTGAAGTAAGTAAGTAAGTAAGTAAGTAAGTAAGTAAGTGCGGTGTTAGTAAATAAATAAATAAATAAATAAATAAATAAATAAATGCGTTTTTGTTAGGTGCAGTAAAAAAGACCCCCCTCGCTGTAAATATGTAATACAATGAAATACGTTATTCTGGAACACAGGTAGATAATTAAGAAAATTAATTAAAGGAAACAATAGGAAGACTGATAAAAAGAAAACAATAACAGCATTGGGGCTAGTCAACAGCTTCAAATCTTAAAAAAGATAGATGACCCGAATTCAAATTACATAAAAAAGAAACAAAGGACGCCTTCAACAAGTGACTACTTAACGGACGTAAATCATTTTCTGTAGCCTTTTATTTTATTTTCTACGTGTACAAGATCACCTACCTTTGTACTGGTGATTATATAATTCTACTTTTATTATAAAACATAACAAGGGGAACCGTTCTTCGTTATCAATTTATATCCGATAAAAATGTGTATTGTGTTCTCTAGGGTATCTTCGTTCCTTGTTACAGTCTTACGGTTTTGTTTAAAGGGAGGGTTGTTTAAAGCATCAAACAGAATTATTTGTCTTTTTGCTTTTTGACTGGGTTCTTGGCGTCAGTGATTTGTGTCGGCCAAATTCAAATGGCCCTTGTATGCCTGGTTGAGAATTTTTAGAACTTGTGTATTTTGGTGCCAGAAGACATAAATGTTAGTTTACATACTAAAAGTTGCAAACAATTTTAATTAGGAATTTCTCTACGTCACGGCTGTCGTAATAATAAGTACATTTTACATGTTCTATTATAATGAACATTTTAAAACTTTGATTTTATAATTTGATCAACTACATTTCCTGCTTTCAATTTTAATGCATTTATTGAATATTTATCTAAATATCGTTTATACCTCTCTTAGAGTTAAAGTAAGTATAGTACGTTTTAAATAGCTTCGCTTACGGTTTCTACTCAAAAATAGCAATTACAAACAATCGAACAAAACAAATATTAAACCGTAAGTGCATTGTGCTTTAAAATCTCATAATGCCCACGCTGCTATTTCTGGTAAGTTGATGAATTATAGCGGCCAGTATTTGAGAAATTATAATGTGAAGTCCGAGACCATTTTTACCCATCAGAAATAAAATATTGAAGAGGGGAAACATTTCAACCTTCATTAAGGAGCCAACTCGTACAAGGCAAATAGTGTCGCGATAATTCTATTCTTCTGCCTAGATATAGTTTTCATTTTAAAATTTATCCAAGCAATTTAACCATCAGCAATTTTCCTGTCAGGTAATACCCATGTTTGTCGTGAGTCAGCTGTCTTTATTTTGTCTTAGACCCCATTTCCAGAGATTAGATCGATCTACTTTAGATCGACCTAACTCCCTGGGGGTTCACGCTAAATAGCTGTCAGCCGACACGGAAGTTAATTACCCCCTTACAGCTTGTAGTAGGCGGGATGGACATTTAAGCCGGATTATCTGACAGTAATCTAGTGAGACTCCCCGCGGGGATAGATCGATCTAAAAGCTCTGGGAATACAGCCTTAGTCGACTATTATTTTCTTAATCAAAAACCTTGCCACTGGCTATGCACTACTCGCTGTCCAAGGTGATTACAATTTTAGGCCCCATTCACAACAGCTGATCCGCGGAGCTGTCTTAATTTAGGTTTAACTGCTAGGCCCTTGCAGGGATGGCGCGTGTGGTTGGGGGGGGGGGATCATTAGGGGATTAGGCAAAATTGTTTTCAAGTGGGGTCGGCCATATCTGATCTGCGGACTTGTAGTCCGAGGATCATCTGTTGTGACCTTATAATATTGTAAGAGATGTATAGCCGAGTTCATACATATTGAACTCCCTTGTATGGGGCGTACATGTACACGTACCTGAAACAAATACAATCATTTGCTTTCATCAAGGAAATTTCAACCTTTTTTGTAAACAATATGTGCTTTTCAATACCTGCACTGACAGTCATCTCAACAACATGGACAAAAAGCTATCCGTCTTATATACAAATATGAAATGCAAAAACGGCAAGATGAGTTATGTTTCTCGATCTATCCGTATGTCTTAAGAACAGCAAAACAGTGACCTGCATATTCTCAGATATGACAATTATATATATACGCCTCAAATCTGTATTAACGGTACTCGTTCAGATACAGCAAAATAAATGTAGCTTTACGCTGCCTTTTTTCTCGGTATCATTTTATTGGATTTTAGATAGGCCCCCTAGTTGCTTTCCTTTATCTTTTGAAGAAGAGGGCGGGTATATTATAGGCAACTATACCTTGCTGACTAAGCCTAACTAAGATAAAAAAGAAAGAACTGAATGAAAAGAGAAATCGTAATCCTTGTAACTTATCTGAAATGATTCCGGGCGATGACAAAGTCAGCGACCGTGCATGTGCGCGCACGCACCTGTCTGTGTGTCCACTTACACATACGAGCTGTTTTTTTACATAGACAAAAAAGAGCGAGCTTTCAATTAACTTACCTCTGCATTCATTTTGCAGGCCATATGCTATGGTACTTGTTGCCTATCTCACCGTCTCGTGAGAGAAGCGCATAAACATCCGTCCGAAAACGATTAACATACATTTTCTTAACAAGCTTAAGGTGTCGTCAGGAAATTTGGGATTGTGGCATGGCTTCTAAAACGCATGTCACTATAACCTTGGACAAAAGTTTTTTTTTCTGTGTGGTAAGTGTATATGTACAAATTAAAAGGAAACGGACTACGGTTCCAAGCGGACTACCATTCTTGTCACGCGGACATACTAAGAATACATTAAAAGATACTTGCCGTTTGTGACTTGGACCGCAGATTTGTGGTTAATGACTTCAACCGCAATTTCACGATGGTTTGGCTGTTTTTTATCCTGGTTACTCGCTATTTACCAACAAGTTATTTTTCTTGACTGCAAACTATTTTCAGTAATCCCAAGTCAAAATAAAATAATAATTTCTCATAAATGAGAAAAAATGTTCATTAGTACAGGTAGCTTGGCACAGGTAGTTGGGTCATATTATACATGTACTCAGTAGTAAAGTTATTTACTGGCAGGATTTTTTTCTTGCCGTTAGTTTACGGTTAACCAAGTTGTAGGGCTTCATCAGGCTGATGAAAGCATATGAAAGCATCATGAAAAAATTGCAAAAAAAAAAAAAAAAAAAAAAAATTCCGGCGAGATTCTCGCTGGACGAGAACATGTATACCGGGCCGTGGCGCAATGGACAACGCGTCTGCGTCAGAAGATTCCAGGTTCGAGTCCTGGCGAGCTCGTATTTTTCTCTTTTTAAAGAATGAATGAATGAATGGTAACAAAAATGTCTGTGTCCCCTCTTAGAATGTGTGACCCCCCCCCTAAAAAAAAAGAAAAAAAAATCGACTTTGGTCGTATATGACCCTCCACTTAATTTCAGTTACCAAGGAAATAAATCACCCAAAAATGTACAAACAGCGCCTACCTCGACGAGGACATATACCTGTATTGTTTGGAGGACCAATTAATCTTTATCATTGCGAGATGAGATCATTGTGAGCCTTGAACACAGCAAAAAGGCTCATATATTTCAGTCGGCGCCACAATCATGCTGTCTGGTAATGGAAATGAGTAGTTTTTAATTCGGAAAAACTACGTATTGTTTTCAAGACTATATCAGATAATTCTGATGAGTCAATTGGCTGATTAATGAAACGGATTTCTGTATGATTGACTGGTTGGCTTAATATATCAAAAAGCCATATTAATAAACGCACTAACGAAAAAAAACAGGGACTAACTCCAATATTACAAACTTCTGAGTGCGGACATTGACTCTCATCTTCAGGTCATCCGGGGTTTATGTATAATGACGAAGGCTCTCTTTTACACAAGAACTTGTATGCATTTCGCCTTAAAGGGTGGTGGTGAACGTGCCCTGTGCAGAACAGTCACCGTCAGCAGTGGCGTATTGTGGTGGGGGG